TTTTTTTTTTTTTTTTTTTTTTTTTTACGATCTACCTGTTGGCTTCCTTCAAGCAGTTTTCTGGTCTTGCAATGTTCGAGAGTTGAAGACACGCGAGTCATTCAAGCATTGTGAGCACTCAGGTGGATTATGTATCATGAGAAACAGCCAAAGTCCAACAGCTGGCCTGCTGGCCCAATGGTAAGGCGCTTGACTACGAATCAAGAGATTGCAGGTTCGAGCCCTGCGTAGGTCATATTTTTTGCTCCCCTAGACTCAGTCTGGTTCTCCCTCCCACTCTTTTTTCCCCCCCTCTTCAATAAGAAATGGGTATCTCCTTCTCTAAAGCCTCGCAAATTACCACGATATGTAACCTCCGGCTTGTGGTCAAATGTTGTGCCATCAGATAGAGGAATTATGGCATGCTATCCGACTTACATATCTTGCGGAGGATCAGCCCGAACAGTCACACCACGCAGCAAGCAGCACCGACAATATTAAGCAATATTCATTCATCTCTTTCACTCAAACAAACAGCAACACTACCAATTGACTATAAGGCCCGTTGCGATAGTCTCCGTCCTCAGCCGACGAACGCTCACTTCAGAACGCTCGCCATGACCACCACCGGATGACCCAACTCTACGCCCTCCTGGTACAATTCCAAGGCCGTGATGGCATCGATTCGCTCTGAGAGTAACTCCCGCTCAATCTGTAGCGCCCGGAGAGCAGCGCCCGCCGGAGTCCGACCGTGAAAGATGCGTCGGAGAGTGGTGGTGCGATAGAAATAGAACTGGTCCGGTGTCAGCATGCGTCTCACCAGCCCTGTAGCCAGAGTACGACTAAGAGACTAGGAACCCACCGGACCCAATCCCTGCTGCTGTTGGGTTGCATAACCACCGATCACCGACTCAGGCTCACTCTGCACTTTCCAACTCATAGAGAGGATCCGTCCTGCAAAGCCGGCCGTGTCAGCGAGAGCGAGGATCGTTGCGATCGAAACACGTCCGCCAATACTGGACAAGATGACCCCGGACGCGCTGAGGAGGCTGAATGCGCGAGCTTGAACGAGGCTGGTGTAGTGCAAGTCGAGAAGCGCGGAGGCGACGAAGGGAGGAATCTGATAAGGTAGATCGGCGCCAGAGAAGTACGTCGACGATGTCTGATCCTCCAGGAGGGTGGCCCCCTCTGGGAGGGGAATGTTGGGCAAGTTCCTTGGGGCATGCGTTAGGTTGTAGGTCACGAAGGAGTGTATGGAACGAGGTGAACGCACTCATAGATCAGGTCGAAGACTTGTTGTCCCTTCAATGGCTCCAAACAATACCCCGTCAAAGCAGTGGCCTCGAGAGCCACCGCTTGGATCGTCTTCCGGGCGTCATGAACCGCGGAGATCAGATTCAATCTGGCGGTTGCGACCACCTCGGGCGATAGGTCGGTCATGGTGATGCTGGTCAGCTCAGGGAAAAAGACCTCGAGGGCGCCCACAGCATCGGTTCCGGATCCAGTCCCAATCGTGGCGAACCGACGAACGGGGCTGTAGCCAGCGAGTTGGAAAGATCGGAAGGCCTGGAATGCTGCCGTCACTGCCCAGTCCGCGGTGGGTCTCTCGACCTAGAAAGTGGGAAGTGGAAGGCATGAGCATTGTTCTGACTGTCAAACATGAACATAAGCTTTTCACCTTGGGTTGATAGCTGAGATCTGAAAGACTGATCTTGAAGGAAGGCGAGACATGACGAGGCTTCACCCCATAGAAGGACTCAAAGTGGATAGAGAGATCATCGCGAGCCTTGGGCACCAGGTCAATGGTAGCCCTAGACAAGTCGTCAGCAACAAGTATCTTCTCCTCCAGAACCGCAGTAGACATGCTGACAAGTGGGTAAAGTAAATGGTGTTACAACCACATCGAGCATCTCAGACCTCAAATTCGGGCTAACAACAACATTAAGTATCAATAGCACCTGTCAGAAGGCGCCCTCTGCTTCGTGTTCATATTACTCCGAGATGTCGCGTTCAGGAAATAAGCATATCACCGTTGTTGTTGTCTATTTCCCCGGACCGAGTGTGCCAGGCATGTCATCTTCATGTCTTGATGGAGGCTTCTGGTGCGGCTGACAGCTCTTAAGGTGGAGTGGCCGAGGTAAGTAACCCCGGAAAGTTTCGCTATTGGATATTCTCCTGAGTGTCACAGAACGCTCGGATCCCTCGAGTCGAAAGGGCATGCAAGTGACTTAGTTTATACAATACGAATGATTGATTCCATTTCGGTAGCAGGGAGAAACACACTGGCAGGGCGCACACCGGCTGGGGGAAACCGCGGACCGAATGTTTGCTGTTGACGCCACCATCCACCAAACTATTGATTTATAGCTTCGAAAAGACTGCAGCTTAGCGTCTGCACCTGCAGCCCTCCAAGCGACGAAGAAGCAAGCGAAGCGAATGGTTCGTTGCCAAGCTGCCACGATGCAGCCCCAGATCCCAAGGCAACGATTGCCGAGCCTGCTTTGGCCCAGACCATGCGGGGATTCCCTTCTTCTCAGCTGCGAACTCAAGCGCCTCTGCCTGGCATTTGCCCTCCCAGCCAGTCGCAACCGATCGCTTGTCTCTTTCAAACCCACTTTGGGCTGCCATGGACTTCTAGGGAGGTTTGGTCGAGCCGGTCTGTTTGACAGGTCGGAGGAAGGAGGGAGGAGGGCGGACGGCTGTTAGTTAGGGCTTCTTGCAGAACATGTTGAGGACTATAAAGCGCGATGAGTTGCCTGCATCGATGGAGTTCATCTCTTCTCTAATCGCGCTCACAATGCAGCCTCCAGTGTCCTCCGAGGTACAATGCTCCCACCTGGAGGTCCCCGATGCCAAGTTGTACTATGAAGTACGTGGCCAAGGCCCCCTTCTCCTGCTCATGGCCGGGGGCAACGGCACCGCAGCCTTCTTCGCATCTTTCGCATCCCTCCTGTCGTCCCACTTTCGAGTAGTGACGTACGAGCGACGAGGATTTTGGCGGAGTCCTATCAAAGATGCGACCAGCTTCGACGCATCCAGACTGTTAAAGGCGAACGTCGAGGATGCTGCTGCCCTGATCCAACATCTCTCACCCAGCGCATCGGCTATTGTTTTCGGATCCTCCTGGGCAGCCAACATTGCTATGAATCTGCTCAATGCCCATCCTCAGCTGGTTCGCAAGGTCGTTATTCACGAGCCTGTCCTGGGGAACCTGTTCACCCCGACGATCCTACAAGGATTCACTGAGGATGTCGATCGAATCATTGCTGCGTTCCGCCAGCGGGGAGTGCCGGCGGCCAATGCGATCTTGACTGCCATCACGAGTAGTCAACGCGATCGAGAGCTGTTCGTTGCCTCGCCAGTGTTCAAACAGCTGATGTCCATCCCCCCGAGCAACCAAGACTGGTACTTTGGAGTTGAAATGGCTGAGTGGCGGCAGTTCACCACCTTCGAGCCGGAGGTTCTCCTGGACCATCGGGGGAAGCTGGTGCTCATGCGCGGGGCAGAAGAATCCCCCGATTTGACCGCGCAACCGATCTGCGTCTTGTCCGACCGACTGGATCTGCCCGTCGTTGACATGCCTGGAGGTCATTTAGGCTATATCACCCACCAGCAGGAGTTCATTGACAGCTTGAGGCAATTGTTATCGCATCACGAGCGGGCTCGGTTGTGATCCATGGTTCTGCGAGAGTCTTCCCAGTTTCTCCGCGTCATTGTCGCCACTGCCCTGCCCCCAGATAAATCGACCCTCTCCACCTTCTTTCAATCTCGCTGATGTTAGACGTCCCAAGGCCACTTTCACCACACCTCAAAACACACCTCAAGACCAAACTCAACCATGTACCAAGCGTTTATCAGTCGCTCAAGGCCGGCTGTGTCCAACCTCGGCCAACGCATCCAGTCAGCGGGTAGGGTTGCTTGAGATACAACCAGAGACAACCAAGAACCTCATCACTGAGTGAAGGTAATAGATCCCTCCCAGCGTCGAAGACACATCGTACGCTCGGATACCTATCGCCGGGACAGCTTCGAACCCGGTCACATCCCGCTCAGTTCGCTGCGGGTGCAGGCCGCGGCCTGGGGCGTTGCAGGGGCGGGCATCTTCGCCACCCTGCATGGAGTGTATATGATGCTGCGGTCGTTCCGGCAGATCCGCTACCTCTAGGATAAGGAGGAGATGAAAATGATGGATGGTCTAGCGGGGGGG